GCCAAGACCTGGCTCCAGGGCCGGACCCGCAGCTGGTGCCAGCAGCCGCGATATTACAGTAGGCAGACATGCTGCTGAACCTGCCGCGGGGCAACCTGCCCCGAGTGGAGCCAGTAGCTCGGTTGATCACAGTCGACTGCCGCAGATCAGAGCCAGACGTGGCCGACAGCAGGGGGGATATCCACCTCCACCACCACCTGCGGGTAACCCTGCTGCACGCCCGCGACTCCCAGACTGGTCGAAGTTGGATGTCCAAATCAGTCTACAGAACCTACGAGGTCTTGACCCAAGCGTGGTAACGCGCGAGTTGCGGACGCTACACGTCCATATCGTTCCATGCTAAAGAGCCTAATATGCGACTCATCTTGACCAGAGCTGGTCTGGACAACGTCAGGTTTTACCTGATCAATGGTGTCCGTGACACATGTCGGGAGTGCAGGGCGTGAGATGACTCAGGGTACGCGGTTATGCCATCTACTGCGCTACCTGGTTAGTTTAACGCAGAAGTCAAATTCGACCTGATGTTCTACAAGCTGGAACTTAATATGTTTCACACCATTGATCTTTGCATTTGATATGCTACTGGAATGGAGACACCAGATAAAACAATGACAAGCTTCTTAGATGCGTATCATCAGTTCTGGATGCAGTTCGGACCCGCCAAGGTATTCTATTCGGATGGGGAGGGTACCCATAACAACGACACAGCTAAGACAGTCCATAAAGCAACGGGCTTTGAGTTAAGGATGCGCGCGCGTGGACAACGCGCTACGACAATTGAAGCCTGACATATTACGCCATTTACTTCGCGCCATGGAAACTGAACTCAAAAGGTTGGACATACCTTGAATTCACACGTCTGCTGCATGAAACTTTGTTTGCCGCCAATGCGTTCACCTTCTACAATAGGTGTCTCCATGCAACGCTCTATTTGGACGGCAGCCAGCAATGCCTCCTGACCTGCTGGTTCTGGGCCATGAACAGCCGACAGAGCCATCTGATCATTCCCGAGAACAGGTGATTCGCCGGGTATGCATTGAAGGTATCACACAATCTACTGCAGTAGACAAGACCCCTCGTGCACTACGCACTAAGACAACTATCGCTGGTCAGCACTACCACGACGAAGGAGATTTCGTCGACTATCCTCGTCCCGCAACTACGAAGGCCGACTGGGTAGGCTGCAATGGCCCTCTCCCGGTTGTACGGAACGGTCCCGGCAGGGGTCAAGTCGTTCTGCGAGTGGTAAACCACGACGTACAAGTTCAAGACTGCGATGCACGACGTGCACTATACATCGATGCTTTGATAGCCAAAGAGATAGGTTCTGACAGCGCTGCGCTGCGAACAGTGTTGACATTGGTCGCCAGTCTACCTGCGGGGAGACCTGCTATGACATTTGGCTATGGCCCGACCAAAAAGGGAACGCTTGATATGACAAGTGCGAGCCGAGCTATCTCCTAGGGTACACTTAGCTCTACAATACCTTATCAGGAACTTCAGTCGTATCGTGGGTGTAGTCTCTGTTAGGTTAGCTCCGAGTATTCACAGGCTACCTCCGGTGGCTCATGCTGACCGCTGCGCATTGGTGCATTATGACAACGACGTTTATCCAGGCTTCTACTGCTATGGAGCTGAAGGTACTGCCCTGAAGCTACATGACATAACCCGATCAGCACATTCGAGGATCATCCAGTGCCTCAAGTCCACAGACTCAAGCGGGGTTCGACCAAGACATGACGAAATTTGAAGAAATGGATGACGCGCCGACACAGGACAACAACGCCAGAGAAGCCCCAGAAGCCGAACCACCACAGGAGGATGGACGGCTCTCTACAGTCTATGTGGAATCATAAGCGGACTTTGAGGCACATATTATGGAGGTGTGGTGCGCAGAGCTACATGAAGGAAGGGAAGTATTGGAGGCAACTCCATTAGATCAATTACCTTAACACTGTACCCACGCATGATCACTGACAGCAGTGCGCTTGTCACGGTAGCTGGAGAACAGCGGGGGCACCTGCCTGCGTGGGGCCATCCGCGCGACTCCGACATCCAGGAAACGTATCATGTCCCATTAGGTTCCACGGACGAAGTCCATAGTTACGGATTGGACTCGGACGAAAACGGTCAATCCATATATATATAGATATAGAATTCTGCTCTACTGCGGAAATTTCAAAGGCAGTCCTATCCGAACAACAACATAGGATATTAGACTTCGACCGTGTCACCACCATGCGAGTCTATGTAGCCGCCGCCGCAACACGAGTTGTGGTCGACAAGGAGGGCGACCTCGCGAAGGCCGACATTTAGGCGAATCCAGTTAAGGTATCCAAGGCTCTACATACTGAACTCAAGACATTGTTCGACAACAAGTGATTCAACATGCAAGGTCTATCCAAGGCATCAAACATCATGACTTCGAGGTACGTATATAAATCGTAGCTCGCAAATAACGAAAATGGCGATATGGGACGTGCCATCATATAGCGCCTGGTACTTTGAGGTTTCATGGACCTGGAGGTTTTCGATGTGGAAACGTTCTCAGGAACGGCGCGGCGGTCCAGTGAGAGATCGCTCGCAAGCGCGGCAGCGTGCAAGAGGCAATCGATCATTGCTTCTCTTGACATCAACATGGCTTTCCTGGAAGGGTTGACCTGCCAGGAACTTGCTGAGGCAACCGGTGACAAGGAAGGTGTTGCGTGCTTTACCTTGCCACCTGGATCAGCATCGGGGTTTCGATCCCTCCCGGGATTGGAGCACTACGACGAGTCGAAGCACTGCTTGCAGTGCCTCAAGCCAGGCACCGGCACCAAGGATGCACCCAGAACCTTTTCACTGAAACTCAGAAGGACTACGAGAGGCTTTGGTCTCAGACCCACGTCCTACGACGAGGAGTTCGAGGCGAGCAGTAATCTTCTCGCAGCCAAACATGTTGATGATAATAATATGGCCGGTACTGCGGGCACCGTCGACAAGTGCGTCAAGTGCGTCGATGACTCTTTTGGCAAGTGTAAACCCAACAAACGCACGTATACCAATTGTGCTCTGAGATACACCAAGGATGGGGGCGGTCATCTTGCACTGGGTCAAGATGAATACATCACACAGCTCCTTCATATACATCCTGAACTCACAGGCGCAGGCGCCGACGCCAAAGCATCAAATATGGTTGCTGACATGTTGTTGTTCAGCCTCAGAGGCGCGTTGGCTTACGCATTGATCACGCAGGTGTGGTTATTGGTATATGTGGTCTCTCTACAACGTGTCCAAGAGCCGACTCATATACAGGTGCGACGACTGAGCGCGAGGACCAGGAAACTGCAGGCCTGCCCTAAAAAGATCGCCTATCGATCGATGACTCCAACGGGCGAAGTTGTTCTGCACAGTGACTCCGGCTATCGACGTCTTAGTGGAGATGCTGATGACGAGGTCAAAGGTTATGGTATTTGTGGGGCAATCCTGCTACGGCGTTGAAACACGCCAGCTGGGGCGCCTGTCGTCCATCTGATCGATGCGTATTGCAAGTCTCGCCGCTTGCAAGTCTGCTCAAGCTACTCAGCAGAAACACTAGCACCAGCTCGCAACTTGGAGGCCGGCTATTCCACGAGCGCTTCTCTGCACGAGCTCCACGCAGGACCGCTGACACCCATTCAGTTGAAGGACTTACTGGAAATGGGTGGCCTAGCATTAAGGTCACTTTGACCATAGATTCCGAATCTGTCTTCAAGTCCTTGTCAAGCGAAGAACTGAAAAAGCCGACCGAGTGTGCGCTTCTAGGACACATGAGTTGGATGCGACAGATGATGGAGCGAGGTATCGTGCATAGTATTCAGTGGTGTGACACTCGCGACATGACTGCGGACGGTCACACAAAAAGGAGCGTTGACAGACAAAATCTTTTTCAGGTCATGGGAGGAACGCAATCCTTCAAACATGGTTTAAACCGTCATACTCCGTGCCGGGCTGGCCAGACAACATCGTCTGAGGCCGCCTAAGTAACGCTCGCATATAATTTGCGTGCAAGGGCACTTGCGTGCGGGTGCACCTTCCTTATGAACCTGCCTTTTTGCTGCCTTTTGGCGGCGGACGGCGGCGGCGGCGGACTCGTGCTTCGTCTCCCCCCCGATTCTAAAGTGACCTGGAACAAGGGCGAGAGATATCGAGCGTTTGTCCGCGGCCGCTTGGGCTCAAGCGGCCGGCCGCCAATCTATGATTGTGCCTCATCGCGAGGCGCGCTACTTGCCACCGAGACCGAAAACATCTTCGCTTGAGATGGCCCGTCGTTCCCGCGACGACCTCCTGCGTCTGGGACTATCGTTACTACGGTACAGCAGAGCCGGAGCTGGGCTTCGCCTGAGGCGAAGCTGCTGGTTGGGCCTCCCAACCCCCTTCAAACTATCCCCACCTGTTTGGCTGCGCTGAGTTCCGTCCCGCTCTTTGCGCGGCGTTGCTCGCCTCTCTGTTTCCCCTTAGCTTGTGGCACGGCCTGCCCCTGCTTGCGCGGTGTTCGACTCGCTTCGCCCGCCCGCGTACCAAAAGGTATCCCCACCGGCCCATCCAGGCACCATCCCCGGACGAATTGTCTTGACTTGGGACGCGTAGGAACACGCAGTCGAACAACAAGGGGCGCAGCAGTCAAATCAAAACTCGGGATCAGCCTTAGCATACCGAGGGTTCAACCGTAAAGATCTTCGCGGACTTTTCGATCTGGCAGCTTCTCGAAGAGTTGTTGGGGCTATCTTGGAGGCCTTCGGGGCTGTCTTGGGCCCCTTTCAGAGGCCTTGGGGACCTCTTGGGGCCATCGTGGAGGACATTGGCGGGGCAAGAGGTGGCGCCGATCAGCAGCGAAAGCTCATCTATTGGGCGTTCATTGGGCCGTCTTGGAGCCTTCATGATGGGTCTCTTTTGCGGCTTTCGTGGGCGTTTTTGGAACCATCGTGAAACTTTTCAAACACATCAGAAGTGAACGTCCGAGAATTCCGTAACCATTTTGGCTCAAGTTGTGGCTTGATGTCTTCTGACTCGATCCATGTGGGTTCGGTTGTCCAGTTTGACAGCTCCACCTGGCCTGATCCTAGTCGGCGCGCTGGTTTTGCAATTTGCCGATGAAAAGGGTGTTTGGCGAGTTCGTGCTTGTAAACCAGGTGCAGATAAATAAGTTGTTGTCAATCCAGAACAAAAGGCTTGCGCTATTGCATTCCACGTTGACCATTTGTGCCTTTGGGGTTTTGTTTTACAACGTCTATAGTGCATACCCGTACGCTCGCGTCTATCGCCCTTCGGGCAAGGCCTTGGAACTTTGGGCCACGAGAGGTGTTGCTGACCAGGATTGCTCGAATTCTGCTCTCCAAAAGTACGCCTACGAGTGCGACGGGGACTGGGTCTACAAGCCAGGTAAATGTGCCCCACTACCTCGTGGCCTGTCCGTCCGGAAGTCTGCGGGCTCGTTGTTCATCCCGACGTACAGTTCTGACGAGCTCATTGAGACAGCTCACACGACTGCGGCGTGCGCCGCTCTCGAGCAAGTTTGCGGAAACGAGGCCACATTCTCGAATATTTCTGGGGCTGACCACTGCACATGCATTACCCGCGACGAGTTTATCGTGTTGGGGTCAGATGACCATCATATCCACTTTAACCACGGATTTGCAGTAGACACTGTCCAAGATGGAAGGGCAACGAATCATCAAACATATTTAGGAAAATATGTACCAGACGGGATCCTGAGCATAACTCGGGGACCCGACGGGGCAGAGTGCGCCATATCGGGGAAATCGCGGTGGGCGCCCGGGGAGAAAATCCACGGCAGCATGCGAGAAATGTTGAAGTGCGGCGGAGTGTCATTGGACGACCAGCAGCCCATGTTGCGCGGTGACATGTCCCAACCGGATTCACCACATGCGCGTATCACAGGCGCAATCTTAGAAATCCAGGTGTCGTACGCCAATATGGAAGCCATCGCCAACCATACTGGCATTGTGGCGAACATTGCTTTCAATGTTAACCCGACATGGAACAGCGAAATTACCGTTGACTACTCTGGATTCGCAGAGTCATCAGGTTCAACTGCTGGCGCGACGTACAAACATCGCTACACCTACGGAGTATCAGTGTACGCAAAAGTGGGTGGTGTAATCGGATATTTTGACTATTTCATGTGTTTTACTGTGGTAATGACGAGCATCACCATGCTAAGCCTTCCCACCAAGATCGTGACATTTGTGGCCGTTCATTGTTTGGGCCTTTGCTCAGTCATATATGCAAGGGAGCGGGTGGACCGGCTTCACATTGGAAGCGATCTTGTGGGTTATTGCGCGCGCTTAATGGGCCATGGAGAGTCTTACAAAAGCATTGTGTCAAGACGGCAAGCCGCATCGGCGGAGGAGATGGACGGTCGCGCACTCGTTGACCTCTTGACTGAGACATTTACCAGCGGGGATGGTCAGAAACCCGACAAGCAGGATATGTCCAAGTTGTCGGATGTGATCATCGCCGCTGTTGACGTCGACGGGGATAGCGTTTTGACTTTGAACGAATTCATCCGCATGGCTTCGTCGAAAGAGTCGTTCAGGGTGTCGGAGGCCATTGCATTCTTTGATACAGACCGACAGAAGGGTCTAATGGAGAGATTATTCGGTGAACCAAGCTTGGACTCACAGAAGGTCCAGGCAAAGATGAGACGCTTGAACGCGGCTGAAGCATGGTGGACCAAGCGTGGACAGACAATGTGCACCCTCGACAGCGGGCTGACAAGGCATCGGACGTCTGGCGCCTCTTCGCTGGGGGCAGCCGGCGATATCGCGGACGGACCGCATAATGTTGTGATTCCGATTAGCGATCACAAAACGGTGCCAGCGCCACCCTGTAATGACCCCGCGGCACCTGGACTGGAGGCCGCTACTGTCACCGCTGAAACGGAGCCGCGTTCGCCAGGGGCAACAACAATTGGGAACACTTCTGCCGCAAGAGCACAAGACAATACAAGCAGTACTGGATCAGGTGTGCTGGGGCATGCTAGCGAGGCTGGCTTGGCGAGATCAGATCGGGATGACATGGTAATGCAGGCAGGGCCCGACCCCCTGAAAAAGAAGAAGAAGAAGAATGTGCAGTAAGCCGCCCAGTCGCAGACCAGCACAGGGCGCTACGATACTGTTTGTCCCCAGTCCGTTGACTGCTACAGTTCTGTCTCAAAGGGGGTTAGCCTGTCGCCATCCTCAGAACGAGCCTCAGCCATCTTCATCACCAGATACTCTCGGCGCTGAGGTGTTGGTTCGCGTGGAGGGGGGTCTGTCTGCCTATGAGGATGCGAGCCGTAATTGCATGGCCTGAATTTTATTAGTGGAGCTGCTCACTCCTTGCGTCACTGCGTCGGGCTTCGGCAATTTTCAATCACAGCTTATGATCGTAGCCGATCTGCGGCGCAATGCTTGCCTGTATACATAACGGGGGACCGGGTCCGGGGGCAGGCGCAGCTGAAATTTGTGCGGGGTTTCGGCGACCCTGGGCCAACAGGGCCCCAAGAGGCTGCAGGGAGGCTCCAGGAGGCCGCAGCGATGGCTCCAGACGCCTTTCAAGGCGACACCCATGACGCCAAGAAGGCCCCCGAAGGTCCCGAAGACGCCCCAAGAGGCACCCCGAGGGACGCCCAATCAGCGAAAATCGTCGACTTCCGATGGGAAAACTGCTATTTTTGGTGTGCTTGCCTTTTGGGCTTCCACTGCGTCCAAGACGGCCCGAGAGGCCCCCAAGACTGCCCCACAGGCTCCCAAGAGGGCTCCAAGACGACCCCAAAGGGACCCCAAGACGGCCCGAGAGGCCCCCAAGACAGCCCAAGAGAGCCCCAGGACGAGCCCCAAGGGGGTCCCAGAGGTGCACAACCATACTCAAATTCCGAGCTTTCGGCCCCAGAGGCTCCCAGGAGGCCCCAAGAGGTCCTTCGGAGGCCCCAAGAGGCCCCCCAGAGGCCCCAAGAGGCCCCCAAGAGACCCCCAGGAGGCTCCCAAGAGGCACCCCAATAGGGCCCCAAATAAGCAAACATCGTCGATTTCCGATGGGAGAACTGATATGTTTGGCGTGTTTGCCTTTTGGGCGTCCACTGCGTCCACGACTGCCCAAGAGGCACCCAAGCTGGTCGAGGATGCCCCAAGAGGGCCCCAAAACGGCCCACGAGGCGCCCAAAACGCCCAAGAACGCCCCAAGGCGGCGCCCAAGACGGGGACGAGGAACCGGAAATTCTCGCCTTTTGGCCCAAGAGACCCCCAGGAGACACCAAGAGGCTCCAAGAAGGGACCCAGAAGCCCCAAGAGGTCCCCATGAAACCAGAAAAAACACCAAAAGAGGCCCCGAAGACGCCCCAAGAGGCACCCCGAGAAGCAAAAATCGCCGATTTCCTATAAGAAAGCTGATATTTTTGGCGTGTTTGCCTTTTGGGCGTCCACTGCGTCCAAGACGGCCCAAGAGGCACCCAAGCTGGTCGAGGATGCCCCAAGAGGGCCCCAAGACGGGCCACGAGGCGCCCAAAACGCCCAAGAACGCCCCAAGGCGGCGCCCAAGACGGGGACGAGGAACCGGAAATTCTCGCCTTTTGGCCCAAGAGACCCCCAGGAGACACCAAGAGGCTCCAAGAAGGGACCCAGAAGCCCCGAGAGGTCCCCATGAGACCCGACAAAAACACCAAAAGAGGCCCCGAAGACGCCCCAAGAGGCACCCCGAGAAGCAAAAATCGTCGATTTCCTATGGGAAAACTGATATTTTTGGCGTGTTTGCCTTTTGGGCGTCCACTGCGTCCAAGACGGCCCAAGAGGCACCCAAGACGGTCGAGGATGCCCCAAGACGGCCCACGAGGGGGCCAAGACGGCCCCAGGAGCCCAAGAGGCCTTTCTGGGGAGCCTCCACAGCGGCCCAGGAGGGCCCAAGCCGCCTCCCAGGAGCCCCCAGAATGCGAAAGGATGGTCCAAGATGCTTCCAAGCAGCCCAAGTCAGCCTTCGACGGCTCTCGAGGCTCCCAGGTGGCTTCCAAGAGACCCCAAGAGAGGTCCGAGAGGCGCCACGGGACGGCCTGAAGATGCCAAAATCATAGATTTTCATCTGTCTTTTCGATGTTTTTGGCTTCTCGCGTTTTCGAGCTTCCAAAGGTCCAAGCGCGCCGAAGAGGCTCCCAAGACCACCACAAGACCACCCAAGAGACCCTCAGGACGGCCCCAAGACGAGCCAAGAGGGTTCCAAGATGGCCGAAAAGGCGCCCAGGACAGCCCCAGACCACGCCAGAACAGGCCCAAGATGGGCCCAAGAGCGGGAGCAGGAGGCTTCCAGAGACCTCCGAGAGGCCTCCAGGACCCCCAGAGGCCCCCAACACACACTCCCGATCCATGACTGAAGCCTTGCGTCCTGCAAACGCGTGGGCAAGATTGCACGTGTGGCAACCAGACGTGAAAATAGAGAAAGGCGGCTGACTACAGACCGGGGCAGGTCACGGGAGGGAAAAGAAGAAGGAAGAGGAAGGGGAAGGGGAACTACGGAAAGGGGGCAGAAGGACGGACAGCTAAATATACACGTGTGCCATCGCAGACACACATTGCGTCCACTGCTGTCTCGGGCGGCCTCGGTTTCTACGCTCAGGAGCCCAGTTCTAGGGCCACCGCTGGCATCGCACACCAGTTGTTCCATTAGTGAAGCGTCGGTCTGCGAGGCAATATGTCGGTAAAGTTGCACTTGCCGGTCACTTATAATTTCGGACAGAGGCTTGGAGCCCGCCTTCTCGGGCCCGTCTTGGGGACTCTCTTGGGCCGTCTTGGGCCCTTCGTGGGCCGTCCTGGAGCTTTCTGGTGCTGTATTGGGGCCCTCTGGGGCGCGTCCTGGGCCGTATTGGGGCGGTCTTGGGAGCTTCTGAGGTCGTCAAGCACGGACCGACAGCGAAAACAAGCAATATGTTAAAATACACGTTTTACGGAGGGAATGGAGCTATTTTGGCCCCTTGAGGCTCTCTTTGGGGCCCTATTGGGAGTCGCTTGGGGTGTCTTGGGGGCTTCTGAAGCCGCCTTGGAGGCCATGTTGGGCGTCTGGTTTGCGGTAGCGGCGCCTGCCCCGGGCGCCCGGACCCGGTGCGCCGTTATATGTATACTCTTACTTTGCCGATTTCCCCGCCGCTGCAAACCTGCTCAGTGTCAGGCCTAGTATCACACGGTAAGCCGCACATGGTTCAGACCACGACGATGATGCGCACCAATCTCCACGCAGTGCCTTGGGACTTGGAATGTGGAAGGGCTCCGGAGGGACTCGCGCATCAAACTCACCGAACTATGCCAATCAATGGTTCGAAATTAAATTGATATCTTGTGCATCCAGGAGACGCAACTCCACGGAGCAGAGCATTACGAAGATAATGGGTTCTTATTTTTCGCGTCCAGAACAAAGATCTGTCGCGGGAATTGGTTTTATTGTGGCCCCGTGGGCCCGTGGCACCATCGTAGCATTCTGGGCGCTCACTTGCAGATTAGCTATGCTTCGGGTTCGAGTTCAACATGGGATATTGTTGCTGATATCAGCATACATACCGCACAGTTGCTATGATTACGAAGATCACCAAAATTGTTTCGCTGAGCTATTGGAAGCAGTGCGACCCACGACACCATGCAGAACAACTGTTGTATTGGGAGATTTCAATGCACAGTTACTGCAGGAGCGACCTGGAGAAAAACAGCACATTGGACAACATGTCTTTCCTGCTGTTGCTAGTTGGAAGTCGAGGCACAAAATAACAAACAGGCAATTGTTGCAAGAACTATGTATTGCCGCAAACATGTCTATTGCAAACACACTTTTCGATACACCCACCAAGGAACGCATCACATACCAGAACTTTGGTATCGAACCGATGGGCACGGACATCACGCCGGAGAAATTATCCCAGATTGACCACGTGTTATGTCATGTGTGTTCTCCCTTGGGTCACGCATTGCAAAACGCATCAAGCAGAAACATTACGTAGCCAGCACTATTTGACCACCGTGGACCTCGCGCTGCAGTTTCAAACAAAATGCCATGATCAACGGCGTCGCTTTGATATTTCTTCTGTGATGGAACAGGAGATAGAGGAGAAGTTTACCTCTAATTTGTACGACTCATGGAAAGCAGCTACACTGTCACACGGTACTTTGGACGAGATGGCCGATCGTGTAGAACATGTTTTTGCTACGGCGTCTTCCACCTTGCGGGCGAGACAGCAGCCCGCAAATAAACCGTGGATATCTCAAGCCACTTTGGATCTTATCGAGCAGCGGAACACCGCAAGACAGTCTGGAGACGCTGACCGTGAGCATGATTTGAACAAATTGATTCGGAAGAGTGCCCGGACTGATCGCACGAACTGGATGAACACGACACTTGTTGGTGGCAGCTGGGATGCCGTCAAACAACTCCAGAAGAAGCCTCAGACGAAACATGCTGGAGTTCGGGATCTTAACAACCAGCTTACTGATACCACTGGCCGCCAAGAAGCACTGGCGGACTACTTCGAACAAGTTCAATGGTAGGTGCAACTCGCGGACCTAATGCGTACCACAACTGGGGCGCTTGGTGCAAATCTTCCTGTGGAAGTGGGGAACGTTACTATGTCAGAACAACAACTCGTATTGAAGATAATGAAACACGGTAAAGCAGCTGGGCCGGACGACGTACCACCAGATTTCTGAAGGTTGTAGCTCGATGTCCATTCGCGTGCGAAGCACTTTTGGAACTATGTCAAAAATGCAGGAGCACCAAAGAAATACCAAACACATGGCGGAAAGCAAACGTCGCATTCATTAAAGTTTAAAAGGCAACGCGGAACTACCATGCAACTACCGACCCATTTCATCACTCTGCGTTGGGTACTAAGCTTTGGCGGCCATGCTACACCAACGACTTCTTCGAGGAGGGTCTGAAGAACGACTACGAAACTCACAATTTGGATTCCGGCCTCGACGAGGGACCGCCGACGCGCGCATGCTGGTTCGGCGCATGATCGACGCAGCTCTCTTGAACAATAGCGGTGGTCTTGTTTTACTTCTACTTGATTGGGCGAAAGCTTTCGATCGATTGAAACCGGAATGTCTATGCGCTGCATTTGCACGTTTTGGTATCCCTCCACCTGTCGTAGATATGGTCAGAGGCATAGATTCGCATCGTTATTTCACAATTGTCGACCATTGTGGTAAGTCTTCTGAACGTTTGCAAGCTGCTGGTATCGCGCAAGGTTGTCCTCTTTCACCACATCTGCTTATTATCGTCCAAACGGTGATGCTGGCAGACGTGTTTTCTACTTTACAACTTCACCAAGAACCAGAATATGTTGTAACCCGGGATATACTGTACGCAGACGACACACCGCTGATATCGCAAAATGTGGAAAACCTACAACAGCTGTTGGGCGCTATCATTTCGGAAGGTGAAAGATACGGCTTGGAATTGAATTGGGACAAGACGGTGCAGCTC